ACTCAGCCGCTGAGCCAGCCAGAATGTTTTCAGTTAGCTAGCTGACATTAGCCAAATACATTGTCTGAGAAAGAGTGACAAATAAACGATTTTAGTCAGTTTTTGTGCCATTCAGGGCATGGTGCTTGGGTTTGAACTTTTTTCATTTGACATAGTTTCAACCGCTTTTTGTTGAACGTAAAACGTAGTTTGAAATTATTTAGCTACGTTTTACTTCCGTTGGTAATTTAAGCGCTGAAGTGAATTTGTTAATCGCACTGTGCAAAACGACCTAAAACTTACTTTGTACGAATAATGAGGATAATTTGATAGGAACGGTGTTTTTTTTCTCCTTGAGCTTAGAAATCGATATTTCGGCAAATAATTCCGTCTGACGATTGTTGATGATAACAGCGTACGAAATTGCTTGTCGCCTAACACTCAAAAATTCAACGCCCCGTTCCGAAATGTAATTTGTTCGCACATTTATATTTCAAATGTGTGAACATTGAGCATAAACACTGTTATTGGATTAGCGGATTAATTTGATGACGCCATGACACGAAGCATTCGCTCGAAAGTGTCGTGGCATTCTATTTGTCACACGCGGTGTTGTTGTTGTTGTTGCTGTTATTTTCACGTTCCCTATCACACATCGTGTGTGTCTATGTGTCGTACAAATTCAAATGAGTGGCTGCAAAAATTCCATCCAACTCCACTCGAGAAAAGAATTCAGTGCAGAGACTAGAAAATGAAAGCACCGACTGCATTTAATGAGTTTCGCATTGAGTTTTCTACATGTAAATGAAATTAAGCTAAAAAACGTGAATTTGATAGCAACATACTCACCACGAATGGGTGTCCCATTTCGACGTATGCATTCACAAACAAAAATTTAATGCAACATACGTGGACCATATCTGAATAATTTGTTTAGCTTATGCATTGTGAGCTTTTCCGTGCATTGCATCGTTAATATTACATTTGCGATGGGATGCAGTTTGAATTACAAAATTCCATAATATACATTTCAAGAGTAAATGGAAACATAGGCGGGTAAACAATATAGATCATGTGGAGTAGAATCATTTCCATTACGAAGCACTTAGTTTTCAGCCGATTCCCAGTCTTTTCATTTATTTATCGTTGTTTTATTGGGCGAAAATCCGTCGTGAAATGGAAACGAGAGATGAAGAGAGGGAGAGAGAGAGCGCAGAAAATGTGTGAAATAAAAGAGTACACTGAAAAAGATTATATATTCGCTGAGTGCTTATTTTACAATCAATTTCAAATTTAACACCCAACAATCCCTGCCGACAGACTATATGTGAACGAGCGAATTGTGCAGCTCATAAATTTTAACTCGGTGAATTGGTAAAGCCAATTTAAAAGCCACCTCTTATTTACTGGCTGGCACATAGTATATCATTCCGCGTTCTTTTCACAGCCAGACAATTAATCAGAGCTTAAAATAAATTTTACAATTGGCCGGCATTAGCGGAGAGTGTATTCACATTCACAGTGAGAAAGAGAGTAATTTTTTCCTTTCCTTCCTGCCACCCTGCCTAACTTCCTACCTCTCTCTATCGCAGCCATGCCATTGGTGTCGGGTGCAATTGCGATGTAAACAGATTGCGATAACAGCGACACTGTCATATAGCAAGTGCAGGCGTCAAAAAGTAGTCTACCAATTACAATTAAAAGCGAGCTTTGAGGCAAATTCCATCGCATATCTGTACACTTCGAGTAGTCACTGAGGACACTCGTATATTTTTTCCACCAAAACTCGTTTCATTCAATATGAAAGAAAAAAACGGTACCCTCGAGCGACTGAATCGGTGCCATTTTTCGCGTGATTTGTTTTCTGCGCTCTGTTTGTATTCCGATGTTATTTGCCGAAATATTATCCACGAACCAAATGCAAACAAGCGTCAGTGCGATGAATAAATATTTCTTTTTTCAGAATCGATAAATTTTATCATGAATTTTGATGGTAATGTCGCATGAGCTCTCTGCACAATATTTATTCCGTCCATTCGCCTACATTCAACGAAATTCAACGAAATTACCAAACATCATATTCCGCTTCGCTTTCGGTTGTACCTCAAAAAATGCACTCACATGATTTTCATTTTATTACTGCGAATCGATTTGTGAATTCAATCGAAAATGTTCAACTCATGAATTATTCCACTGAATGGATTGGCGAATTCAACAGTTCCATTATCATATTTTACCCTTTTTTTCAATCAACAGAACAGAAAAATATTGTAAGAACCCAAATCAATGAAAATTCCAACACAATCGAAAAAACATCGGAGACAAACAAAAATCAATGTATGACATGCTAGTTCGTTCAGAAAAATCAATTGACAGTCGTTATTTCGTCCATCAAATCTGGACGGACAATGAAATAAATATTTATATGTATCCATTTTCCATGGCTTATTCGAAGTCAATAAGAGTAAAATCATATTTTCTTGGATGGCTCCGGGCGCCACTGAGCCAATGGCTGGCAATAAGAGAAGGAGGGAGGGAGAGAGAGGAAAACTGGCTGCACTATACGACCCAACGATTCAATAGACCTTTGATTACACATCCGTTTGACGTCACACCATAAAAGCGCGACAAATTTCGTGCAGCTGACAAAATCAATCGTGTGACGACAAAAGAACCGTGTGCTCAGCTCGTTTCCAACCGGTCCGAGTCATAGATGATGTGAATTTATTGTGGGTAAAGTGCAGAACCAATTTCTTCGCCATAAATTACGTTATATGACCCTGATAACATTCATGGGTAGCCGGAGCGTGTTCCCTTTAAATTTTACATTTTTAAAATAGCAATCGAACAGAATTTTTGATGGTCGCAATTTCAGTGATAAGCACGAAAATCCATTCATTTTGTTGTTGAAATTAACTTTTGAACACATATAAAAGATTTTTCATACGCAAGGATGAAACTTGTTCATGTTTGCTCCAGTCAGTCTCATGCTTTCAGCTTTAGAACGGTTCTTTTTCTTCTAAAACTAAAAAGTATTGATTCACATGGAATCAATCAGAGTCGAGCACAAGTTGTCCATCGAAAGTTGTTTTTCTCACCGAGATTATGAACGAAAAAGAAAAATGTTCGATGATTGAAAAACAAAACTTCCACTCGATTTGGAACTCAATCGTTTCCTCTGCTGCGATTTGTTATTTCAACTCGCCGAGATTGTTTACATGGATTTGTTAACGTTTCCGTATCATGCAAGAGCAACATAGCGTTGTTGCATTTATCGTGGGCCAAATGTCGCTACACCGTTTACTGCATTAATTATTCCATAAATGGATACAAAGGAGAGATCGGACAATTCTCGAAATGCGCACTGGCTTGGTTCAGTGTATAGATAAATCGTAATTTTTCGTCATCTTGTGCTTTGCTCTTCCCATTGCTTTTTTTATGGGTACCATTTATCGCTGTCCCAACGGCTGTTGTTTTCACTTCTTTTCCATTTGTTCACCGTGTCATGGAAACAATCATAAATATTTCATGCTGTTTTTCCTTGACTATATGGGACTGTGAATGCTGTGATAATGTGCGCCGAGTACAGCATATTTTCGCTTGCCTACGTTGTTGTTTTGTTACTCTGCATCTAATCTGATCTGTTGTTGTTCTGTGAACGCGTTTATTTAATTAAAATGTCGCATCGAGACGAAATTGTTCGGTGTGTGTTTCCAAGTACGTAAACATTGCTTTCAGCGATAAAATTAAAATATATAGCATTCTTTCATGGCAAATGCAAAACAGAACATTCTCATTTGATATGGATTTCATGGCAAAAAAAATGTGCGCTCGCTCGTGCGCTCGTTTAATCTTTGATAGGAAATGACATTTTGTTTTTTTTTTTCTCCCCATTCTATATCAAAGCTGGAGCCGGATTTTCATAACTTGTATAAAACGACGCCTTTAAGATTTGAAATGTCATTCAGTCGGTCGCTTGTTTCATGACTAGCACAACACGCGAACTGATGATATAGTAGCTCTCTATTCATTTTGCATGACACAATATTCCGAATGCATACAATAGAGCACCTTATTTTACGGTTGTCGTGCATTTTTGTTGTGTTCCTTTTTATTTAAAAGAACATTTTGGGACATGCCATTGCCGTGTACTGATTTAAAAATAATGTTTTTTTTCATTCTTTTTCCGCTCTTTTCTTTCTCGATTTGATGTCTGCAGGAACCCAGCCCACACAACAAACGAATTATTCAGTGACGGTGTACAAATTCAGTGAAAATGAAACTTTCATTTCCAATGCCCGGTGGTGGCACCGGCCTCACATTATTCTCCAAATTAGTGCGAACGAAAGACTTACGCTCTGTTCAAGCTGAAGATCCACGAAGCACAAAGCCCAAATTAACGGTAAATTAATTCGATGGAGAAGAAAATCAGTATTTCAAAGGCCAGAATTCGCTGGAAAACGGCTTGAGAAATTAACTAAATTCGCTTGATTTCATTGTTTTTTCTCTCTTTGACAGAAATGCCTGACAACGTTAGATCTAACGTCTCTAGGCGTTGGTTCATGCTGCGGCACTGGAATGTATCTCGTCGCTGGCATGGTGGCGCGAAGCATTGCCGGACCAGGTGTAGTTCTTAGTTTTTTTATTGCAGCAATTGCTAGCATATTTTCAGGTAAACATTTTAAACATTCACATGCATCTTGAAAAAGCGCTCAAAATTCACTAGAATATTCAATAAAATGGTGTATTCTCTCATCATTTCAGGTGCTTGTTATGCCGAATTTGGCGTTCGTGTGCCACACACATCCGGTTCAGCGTATATGTATTCATATGTAACGGTCGGTGAATTCGTAGCATTCGTTATAGGCTGGAATATGATTTTAGAGTATTTAATTGGTAAGTCATCATTCGAACGATTTGGCTCATTCAGTTGGTTTGAAAAATTCACGTATAATCCATCATGCTGCTTCATTAATTGAATCCAATTAACTATGCTATTACCCATGGGATTCAAATATGCGCTGAATTATTGACGCTTTCAGCTAATTTTCGTGTGAAAGCTGTGGCTTCGTGCGATTCATTCTTCATGACCTCCAGTCTTCACTTGAAATAATCCGACCAAAATATCTACTGAAACTCAGTTTTTCGAATTTGGCATCGTGCTGTAGCCGAAATGTTTCCAAAAATGGTTGATTTATCTACGGGTAAATTCATTTGGGTGGTCTCCGTAAAAAAGAATTACCGCCTAATTTGTTACATTCTATGTTAGGAACAGCCGGCGCTAGTACATTGCCCATATCCAAAGTACTATGGATTGAACGTGAAAAATCACTGCACATCATCGTTACTAAATTATATAATACACTTTCTTCATCGTAATAAACTTAATTGAATTGCCGATTTTACCGATTGTGCACGATTTTACCTTCATTTAATCAGTAGCCGAGTTGAAATCTCATTTTCCGAAGTGTGATTAGTTGAAATTCCTTTTTTTTGCTTCGAACACAATAATACTTAGGAAAATATGCTGCCTTAAGTGACGCTAAATAAATTACACGCTTCAACATTTATGTTCCGTACCTGCGTGCGCTGTAATTATCATGATTTTTCCACATTTGCTGGCAATCCGTTTTTCACAGTCTCAGATCTCAAGATATATGCATTTTGGTGGTAGCTGTTGTTTGTTGACGTATGGGTTATATAGGTTTGCATACAGCAATGTGAAAGCTCAAGTCAAACTGCTGAAATGTGGGGCTACCATCGGCACGAATGAATACGATGAGATAATAATAACAAAAAGGGTGAAGTTTTATGAAAAGTTTTCGCTTTGAAAATCCCATCAAAAGAAAGCACAAATGACAGGCATCGACACAAAATTGTTGCTGTTCGATTTTCTCGCGTATACATAACGCAAAACCGCAAACGACGTGACAAATCCAAGTATACATTTCGGAGAAGGCTTCATGCCTTCAACCGACGAAAGGATAAAATCAAATTGTATGAACCAGTAGCCACACACCAGACCATCTGAAATGAAGTGGCTTTATGTTTTTCAACGTTTGGCTATAAAACCGCAAATAGAAGCTAATGGCTCTTCGGTACACAAATACACAGCTTTTGCGCCATTTTAATGTTACTTCGTTCCCTTCAGGTCATTGATTTTTAAAATGTTTGATGTGGTGCTACAATAATTTTTTCGTTTCCATTCATGAAAAATGCACATGGGTGAAGTTGAAAATAGCTTTGTTTTTTTTTTCATTAGCGTAATTTAAACTCCGAAGTAGGAAAAAAAACATCCTTCAATGGGGCTAATAAACAATTTTACACACATAATGTTAATGTAACGAAATTGCGATCAATTATTTATTGAGTTATTTTTTGTTGTGTTTGTGTGGTATTCAATTTTCCAGGTACAAGTGCATGTGCTTGTGCTCTTAGCGCTAGTTTTGATTCATTGTCGGGCGGAGCAATCGGACGAAGCATAGCGGGAACAATAGGAACAATATTTGGTAAAATTACAAAACCAATTATAAAACAAATTATAGCGAATTACAATCGAACTACATTGTTCACGTGTGTGTATTCTTATTGCAGATCGAACACCGGATTTGATTGCATTCGGCATCACGCTGGTAATGACCTGCGTTTTAGCATTGGGCGCCAGCAAATCGGTTATATTCAACAATACATTGAATGTGATAAATTTTGCCACTTGGGTATTCATAATGACGGCCGGTTTATTCTACATCGATACGGACGTATGGCATGAGCACGATGGTTTTCTACCGTTCGGTTGGAGTGGGGTAAGTGCACAAACAATGTCGTAAAATATTGCAACCACTATTTAACTAAAGTAGAAAGCGTTTTATTTTAAAACCGATTTACTATTTCGGTTTAATTGCATTCCATTTCTCTCTTTTTTCCCTCTCTCGCGCTGCATTGCGTTTCATTTGTGCGGTCAACTAGGTTTTCACCGGAGCGGCAACATGCTTTTATGCATTTATTGGCTTTGATATAATCGCAACAACTGGCGAAGAGGCACACAATCCACAGAAAAGTATTCCAAAAGCAATCGTTGGCTCGTTAGTCATTGTTTTAATTGCATATGTTAGTAGTAGTCTGGTGTTGACGCTGGTCGTGCCATACGATCACATTGATGCTGGTTCGGCGCTCGTACAAATGTGGTCATACGTTGGTGCAAAGAAGTGCCAAGCATTGGTTGCCATCGGTGCCACAGCTGGTTTATCAGTGGCCATGTTTGGTTCGATGTTTCCAATGCCCCGTGTAATTTATGCAATGGCACAAGACGGGCTCATTTTTCGACAGCTCTCACAATTGTGGGACCGAACAAATGCACCCGGTATCGCAACTATCCTCAGCGGACTAGCTGCCGCATTTGTGGCATTGATAATACGCCTGGAGACGCTAGTTGAAATGATGTCGATCGGAACATTATTAGCATACACGCTGGTGTCTACGTGTGTTTTGGTGTTGCGATATCAACCGCACAGCACATCATTGGTGGAACTTTTGCCCGCACAGCTACGCACACCACAACCACCAAGCACACCAGATCCAACCAATTTACCAAGTGGTAATTTATTTTCGCGTTACCTTTTTTTCAAATTCGCATGGAATGAAATGATTTTGGTTAAGTGTGTTTTGACGGTATTCGTTTTGTTTACTTTCACAGAAGTTGCAACGAATAAAAAGACTGTGGTCATTAGGAAAGTGACACGAGCTTCACCGGATTCAGATGATTCGTTTGGTGATGAGAGTCCCGATGGTTATTTAGGCGGTCGTAATGATCAATTCCTTGTGTCTGATCGCTCGGAGAATAAATTCTATGGCAGTGTACATGGAGCGCCAACTGGAACAGCTGCACCATTTGATAACCTGGGCCTAGGTATTGTCGGACGAAAACTTGAAGAGTATGGATATTTGTGCCCTGGATTATTTCCATGGGTGAATCCTGGACCAGCTACACATGAAAGCGGTAACGAAAATATATTTTCAATGGGATTTTAATGGGTAGAAGAACTCAAACTAAAATTTATATTCATTTTACAGGAATGCACGTCACAAAACTAGTTGGAATCATGTTCATTCTAATCTTCTTCTTGGATCTGTTGGCCGCATGCAGTTATTCGGGAGCATTTGCTGGCATCATTTTTACGGGGCTTGCTTTTGGAATTATTGGCATTCTACTGGTCATCTCACGGCAACCACAGAACAGGTCAGTTGCGCATTTTTCTTCTTTAGAAGAAAAAAAACGAATTAAAATTTTAATAAGAACAATCTCGTGACTAACTTATCCACATACGTTTCGTTTTTCCCAGATATGCGCTCGCTTTCTTAACGCCAGGCCTTCCATTCATCCCAGCAATTGCGATCACAGTGAACATCTACTTGATTTTCAAACTAAGCATATTGACATTGGTTCGGTTCACCGTCTGGATGATACTCGGTTTGATCATGTACTTCTACTACGGCATAACAAATAGCTCATTGGAAAATGCACAAGAGGAAATCGAATTGACCGTTGACCAAACGCATTTGGCGCCGCCACCACAGAAGCCACACGGTAATCACTATTCGAATCAGACACCGACCGCTGTATGGGATCGTCATGGCTATGAAAATAAAATGGCCGAAGATAGTTGGACAACCGCTCCAACGGTAACAAACAATTATACGACCAACAGTTGGGATATCAATGAAGTAAACAGTGCGTGGAATGACCCAGCACAACGAACCGAAACAGTCACCGCTAAAAAGCCGACGATACCAGCCAAACCATCAGCGACCGGTGCATCGTCGTCGAAGAGTAGACCGGCAGCACCACCACGGCCAGCCACCGCACAACCTACTCAACCGAAATCCGGTTTCTCTGGCATTTTTGTGGATGAAACAATGTTTCCAAAATGGGATGACTAAATCGGTTAAATAAACAAACTTTAGGAAAAACTCTTCAAGAAGACACATTTTTTCTCTGATTCTAGTATAATACTTATTCATTAAGGCTTCATCGATTTACAAAGAAAAAAAAACATTTCATTCAATCATTTCGTATTAAACTTTCGTTCCGAGAAAGTGTGTCCAAAACAATCTCAAGAAAAGGGGACATTTTGTGTATAACTTTCGAAGAAAAAGTATTTTTTTATTCTATTTACTATTTTTCTTTGATCTGTTGCCAATTGTTGTAGTACCAAAATGACAAGCAACAAAATGGCAAACAAATTTTCTCTATTAGATAGTTTTATTTAATTAAACATTATCTCCAGAGTAGGAAGAGACACTCCATAATTTAATTCTGCTTATGGATTGCATAAAACCAAACAAAAAAGTTATAAACAAAGTTATAAACAAAATTTCCAAATGTAATATGTACTTCACTCAATCCAATGAACTAACTCAACAAATTGATACAATTTAGCAACTATTTTAGAAATAAATTTAGCGATGACATAAAAAGGAAACAAAAACGATGCAAAGAGCATTTAAAATGAATGAGTCGAGCATAGTGTTGAACAACAAAATTGGATGAGAAAATGAATTGATGTTGAATTTGAAACTTCGTTTTTTCGTGTTTTGTTTTTTCTTCTTCTGCGATTCACTTAGATTTGTTGACGATATAAAATATGCAGAACTTTGATTGCAATCGAGAGAAGAAACGAGTGATTGAGACAAACATAAAAGACATTTTTAAATTCTTGTTGAAGATTTTTTTAAGAATGTAAGTTACGGAAATGCAATAAGTATTTTAATGTTAAGATGTTCGGGAATCTGATTTTTCAACTAATTCTATCTGTCCATTCTATATACTCAGTTTGAGTGAAAGAGAGAAAAAGAAGAAACAGATCAAGATTTCACCGGCTGCCTATTAAAAATTGAACAAATTTTAAAATGAAGTAGCGGTGTTTGATGCACAGCATCACTGATTTGAACAGCTTTTATGTGATTCACACTATCCCGGTATCCAATTTTTATTTTCGACCACTTACATTTCTTCTCGATTTTGTTTTGGTGTTAAGACGAATCAATTCCTATTTAATGATGGATGAATGCATCAATGTTTAATAAAAGCAAAACAAAAAACCAAATTGTAACTCGAAACGAAACTCTTGTACATAATATAAATACTAAATGAAACAACTAAACTGATATTAAACGTTAGGATCTCTTTTTCGATGGATGTTGTGTAGCTTTGTACTAAAATACTCTCTTATGTGTGTAGTCATATGCCATGGGCAAAAATCTCTCTATAATGACACATTTTTATCTCTATCTATCCTCGCTCTGGCACATCCGATGATACATCGGTTTAATCACATACTCTTTTTTCTTATTTCAATACTCGATTTTTTTCCCACATCTTTTTACTATATTCACACGGAACATGTTTGAAATTTTTTGTAAATAATTTTATCTATGTTGTGAAGCACACGTTCGCTTAGGCCTTGTTTTCCCATCTATTACTCATCCAAAAATATTTTTTTTCTTAGATTTCAATTTAATTGATTTCATTGACATTCAGTTGAATTATGAGTTTTTTGAAACAAAAAAAAATCAATCTAATCAAATGATATATACTCTTCTAATTTTCATCGTAATCTTTCGAACTCTATACAATTTTCTGTCCATTTACAAATCAGACTCTATATTTTAAACATAAGATCTATAAAAAAAAATTCAACTGATACAACTTTTGAAACAATTTTACAACATGATTTTAATATTATAACTGAGACTAAATGCATCAAAAGCTGCAAACTCACCAGTAAAAAAAACCATATGACGCATTATTCTTTTCTTGCATTTCATTTTCTGCTAACAACATAATATGCTTCAAAACATGAAATTCATTTATTCGAGATGCCAAAGGCTCAGTTCAATCAGTGTCTTCTCAAATAAAATGTGTGTATTCCATAAATTCATCCAGATACTATCATAATCGAACAACGTTCACAACCGTTTCGATTATTTTGATAGAATATTTTTGAATAAAGTTCTTTTTCGCCACTGCTCAATCATATTGCAACCCTAACCGAACAATCTATGGTCTATCAATGGAACTTTTTTTAAACAATATTTTCAATCATTTTTTTTTTGTGTGTGAATTCGAGATCTTCAATGTAGTCTCAACCACAATGGGTGTCCATTTGACGAGCGTTGTGCATTGTCCAAATTTTAATAGAATTATTTTAATAATTTTTAAACAATGACAAAGAAAAACTTTATTTTTCGTCAATTTTTATGAAGATTCAAATGGAAATGATTAAATGAATTTGTGAATCATTCAACTTTGAAAAATTCCAAAATCATGTTTATATCAATGCAATTTCTTATCAACATAATCTCGATGGTAATGCATCAAAAGCTGCTGATAATGCATAAGATTAAGTGTGAATCACACAAAAAACGTGTGACATCTTCAACCAAGACACAATGAATGCAGTTCAAATTCTATAAAACTCCTCAAGAACCAAATGTGAATGACAGCACCCTTTAAGTTGAGACTACCCTAAAGAATCTCCAATTCTCCATAATATAGTTTATACTTTTATAAAAAAAAACTAGCAATCAACTATGCCGTACATTCTTGAATGGTAAAATATAATTAATGAAACGGATCACAACAATGACTAATCATTTTTTTCCATACAAGTGATAATTTTCACATTTTTTTTCAAGTATTCTCAGTAAAACTCTATTTCATACTAAACAAAAAGGATTTTTCTTTCCAAAACAATGATTCCGAGCAACAAGAGAACGATAAAAATAGGAAGTGTAGGAAAAAAATTGCATTGCGAAACGAATGTAAATTGCAAATAAATTTAACTGAAGCCATGTGCGCTTTATAAAAACAAATTCCTAGAAATGCGGGGAAACTCACTGGGAGCGTTGAACAAGTGAACAACCAAATAAGAAGAAAAAATTTAACAAAATATGCTGTGTTTACGATACATATCTCAAATAATCCAAACATAAATAAATAAAATCTATTGAATATTATAAAATAGCTGATACTAGAAGTGTTTATAGATTTATCAAACAAAAATGTTTGAATTGCAGCGTTGCCAATATCGCTGAATGGTTTTATTTACAAAGTATAAGTATTTGCGCGGCAGATACAACTTAAAACAAAAATGAACAAATGGACTTTTAATCGAGAGACTTGTTAGTTAGGTTACCAAACTGTTTCATTGAAACGAGAGAATAAAAAAGACGCTTTCGAGATATTCCCGGTTTTGTTGTAGAATTTTTGTTTTGCCGAAACCATTCCAAGTTCTACTTCAAGAGCAAAACCTCTTTCCACTACCTGTCAATCCTTTAAAACGGCAAACAATGAGAAAAAATGAGTTTGTATGATGCTTCCTGAACGGTAGCCTGCGAAGGTTTCAACTAAATCCCATTCGAATAGAAGTACAAAGCATAATTTTAAACCATCCTTCCAACTCCCATAGAATTAAAATTAACCATATATTTTATCAATCTTTTTTCTGTGTTTTTGTGTTTTTTTTTCACGGACGATATCACCAAAAATAATATGGAATCGAAACGTTTATTGTAGTGTTTGAGATGATTTTAATTGAATAGAATTGTTTGACAGTGCCTGGCCAGTTGTTGAAAAATCAAGTGATTAACACGATAGAAAGACAAGAAGAAGATGAATATTAAACAGAAACAAATGAAAGCAAATGGAGCAAATTATCTAAACGAACACACATACACCGAACTAAAAGCAAATCAACTAAGGTTATTTACCGAATTCGAGTACCTTGAAATCAGCAGCAATGCAAACGTAAAAAGCATATTCATTTCAATGTGTATTGATGAATTTAAAATAGTAATAAAACGATGGTGATGATGATGACAAAAGAAAAACTCACAGAGAATAGTTAAATATGAGTCAAGTTAAAGCAAATAGTAATTACCATTAAATAAAGTTGAAAACATATCCAAAGTATAAAGTATATTATATTCCGTAGATGGTTGTATAGTGTCTAGAAAGCAAAATGAAATCGGGAGTTATATTGAACAAAAAAGTGATTTGTAAATGCGTTTCATATTAATTTCTAAGTTCTTTTTATTGTTTGTTTGTTTTTTCCATTGCGATAAAATTTGGCGTTTGAACTGATTGGTTTTTTCCTTTCTTTTGGCAAATATTTTTCTTTGAAATTGTGAAATACACTTTAGCAACCTAGAACAAGCATTTATTGATACGCATATTTTATAGGCATTAACAAAACAAGAACAAAAAAAATTATTTTAAAATTCTAACAGTGGGCACATTGCGGAAACATGCACAGCACACGCATAATTCCCACAGGCAGACATTTTCATGAAAGGATTATCGAATGTAATCGGGAGCAAAGCATCGATTCGCCAGTTCTTTCATGACAATCAAAGTAACATGCAATCAAACGTCTTGTATTATACACCAGCATTCAAGCAGACACAAACCAAATACAACAACAACAAATAAACAAATTACTAATATAAACTACAATATTTAGCCATTTACGAACAAAACCCAGAAAAAAAACATGACAACATCAACTATATAAATTACAAATTTGCTGTTAGAATATTTAAACAGGAGAATCCAAAGATTGACAAAAAAAATTTATGGACAAAAATGCATACCTATTTATGATGGAAGATTACAGATTATACCGTAATGACAAAATGAAATTAATATCGTTAAAATTGAATTTATTGACAAATGAAAATGACATAAATAAATTTAAATTTATTCACGTTTATGAATCAAATCAGTGTTGGGTTTTATTTCAATTCTTTTCTTTTCGTTCGAGGTTATTCTGGCATGCGCAGTCTTCGTACACTTTCACATTGAAATAAAGCGCGATCGCAATATTTTCGCGGTAGTATTGAAGACACGCCATATCCGTTTTTCCAAGGTAACACCCTAGCGAAAGATGGAACAATTATTCCACAGTCATTTCGCTCCGCATATGCTAGCTTTGTGACGAGATGTCCACCGCATGGATGACCATATTAACGCGTGAGAATAAAAGACTGACGCTAGCAGGTTTTTCGCAAAAGCGGGATAACTCAGTTGCACGCAAAAGAGACATTTCAAAAGGTTACACGCAAACGGAACATTTTATTTTGTCGCATTTTGAATTTTAAAGCCGTGATTACAACAACAACATACTTCTCTCTTGCGTGCAACCTTTTGAAATGTCTCTTTTGCGTGCAACTGATCTTTATCCCGCTTTTGTGAAAAACCTGGTAGCGTCAGACTTTTATTCTCACGCGTTCACATATGGCTTCTATGTTCATAGTGGCTTCATAGTTTGTCACCATGTTTTAGTATGCTATTGGGTATTAGTTGATATCATTATTCCAAAAACAAATCAAAGGGAAAAATCGAATTGAATTTTCGTATTGTTTTTTTTTTTATTCAAAAACTTTTTGGTAATATAAAAACAGTGAGCAAAAATATTAAAGTGATAAACAAGCAACACCCGAGTGCATAAACGGTTCATAAGGCATACCTTTGCGTATATATGCATAGGAGCGAACGAATATTCAAAAAAAATATGTGAACATTTGCGAAAGACAGGATGAAGAGAAGAAAAACCATTCACTCCTATGAATGTATACACAAGGTATATGCAAAGGTGTAGATGCCTTACGAACCGTTTCTACGTTTTATTCGGGCAGTGTAACATTCATTTTGATATTGGAAATATTTTCCTTTGCTTGAATTCAAGCGTTTAACAAGTTAACTTATTTTTAATAACCGTCAATCCAATTCTAACTTTACATATGACTTTTCCTCAAGATCATCTAACATTTTCACTCTAGCTTATACTGATTTTGATAAAATCTGTAATGCCGATCCAGCTTCACACCTTAAGTGCTTTGTAGTAGAAACATAACGGGATGTTTTTAAAAATACTATATATAGTATGACAAGAGTAATTATTATTTAAAACTTGTATTGTAGTGAATCATTTAAATAGACGACGGTGTATATGAGCTTGTTTTGGCCGTCAAACACTTTCGAACTCTTGTTCGACCGTTCGACAATTTCAAAGAAGTTTTTGTTCATTCGTTCGTTCGAAATTGTGTTTGTCTGTTGTTCGGTTCGAGCAAGATGTTTTACATTGAATTTTCTAATGAAAAAAAGTTTGTTCGGACCAAACCACGATTAAACACAATTTCGAACGAACGAACTTTCGAATCCAACACTAAATATGAGCCCGTGCGAATATTAGTTGGTTTTTATTGCTTCGCATCGAAATGCATATTTTGGAAAATAATTTCGCTCAAACGAAACTTTGAAACTTTAATATTCAATTACAAAACTTTATATTCTCACATTTCGATTTTTTTGATCCGCCATTACAGTTCTACTTTAAATTAGTAGATATTCAACTTCTTTCTCAAAATCAAAACTACTGCCAATCTCGGCTTTCGATGTGAGGCAATAAGGGAAATAGACAGTATTGTAAACAAAAAAGTCACAATACACACACAATAGTATGGAGTTTACTTTTATACTAAAGTGTCATAACCAATACATTCAAATATAGTTGACATATACGAATGGGATAAATGTCATCTCATTTGTGTATATTTGTTGGTGCTGACATCTACTTTTGCGATGAACTTTATCCCATTCGTATATTTCGACTATTTTTGAATGTATTGGTTATGACACTTTAGTATAAAAGTAAACTCCATACTATTGTGTGTGTAGCTCAAAATAATTCAAAAGAAGCGTTTGTTAGGGAATCATAATTTCCAAACTGTCTCGTGCAGTGTAGCACTTAATTCTGGAACCTACGAAGTATCATGAAATAGGAAAATCCGCTATTTGCAACCTGGACAAATACACGGAAAAGATTGAATAAATATTGTTTGGATGCTCATTACCCACACAGCAAATACATACCGTTTTAAAAGAGTACCGGTCGCAAGATGCTCTCCCGAATGCCCGAATAACAACTGGCTGTTGTGCATATCGAATGATTAGCGGTAACATCTTTTGCACTTCGGTTGGAAATAAGAACCAGTCACACTGATTGATATCGTCCAGTATTTCCTCGAATCCCGAGTTTATTCTTTCACCAATTTTGCAGAAAAGAAAGGTAACGGCGATTGACCAAGTTACTAAAGTTATAATCAATACGAATGTGCCACTTATTCCCGCAGTTGACTAAATTCAGAAGTTTGAGAAAAAGTGTTTGATTAGATCACTGTACCTGTGTGGTATTGAAGATAATTTACCAATTCCATTTGAATCATTGAAAGTGTGCCGCATAAAGCTAGAAAACTCCACGTAAAAATGACCAAGATAATCAAATTGAAAACGTTTGTAACGTCAGTGGCAAGCCTATTGAAAAATGTTGAAAATAATAATAAATTGTACAATAATGTATAAAATCGTTCTTGTAAACAAATTCAACTCAACTGTTTCACTGTCGCATGAAAATCAATAAATCCTTTGAACTTATTCATCAGCTCCGATGGACTTACTTCATTTTTCGTGCCGTCATTTATGATACTCAGATCAGAGCGTAGTTCCTTGGCATACGCCAATAATAACATACAGCATGCAATGAGTAGAATCATAATACCGCTTATAACAATCCCAACTAAATGACTTTGTGCAGCCTCAAAGATGATTGCAAACGGGTACGTAAATGGGGTTTTAAAGTCAAATGGCAACCTTAACAAAGAGACAACCGAAATTAGTATATCAAAGTGTTTTCGTGAAATTTAATTATTTCTCCTGACTTTTTTCAAAATAAACCATTGGAAAATATCAAATGAACCAAGAAAAAGACATGACAAATTTACCACATTGGGAACATGGTGATAAATGCATCGGGCCCCAGAACAGTTGTAAAGTGAAGAAAATAGCTCCTGATGGAGACTGAAATCTCAAAAGAGCCAGGAGATGCAATAGCAGCTACAAGGAAAATTGCGTAGCCCAATTTTTTTATTCTTTCTGTCATTTTCACATAAACTGCCCTCGATTCTGAACTCACCGAACCTGTATCATTTCGAGAAAAAAAACCACTTGAATTAATGGATATTAAAATGCGATCAGCGCTGAATTGAAAAACGCTTTCCGAAAAATGTCTCATTTATTCAAATGGGATGGAAATATCTCCTAAAAATATCCGATAATTGTCATCTCTCAGGGAATGTGGTAAATCGGATTATTTTTGTCGAATCCGGTCGGATAGACTTCAAATTTCGCTTTGCAAATCTGGAAGGAAATATGACTTTTGTTCCGTATGCTATGCGTTACAATCACATGAAAAATACCGGATAGTTTTATGAAAAATTGTTATATTAATCTCATCTGAATGTAAAATTCTAGCAGTAATCTATGCTTGTGACAACGAACCAACAAAACGTACCACATACAGACGTCTTGAAATAAAATTTAAGGTTCACTTTTTTCTGAAACTTTTCGTTCGGTTCGCTCCTAACGCAACCACTTTTCTAAGTTTCGTTTTTTTCCATTTTCCAAAATATATTTTCATTTCCAACGATTCAATTATGAAAATAAAATCCAACTCACGTGTCTGCATGACATTTATGAAGTCATCCATCATTGCGAAACAATCTTCGGCATACACAAACAATATCAGAAAAAGTGAATGACACATCAGAATATTCGAAAGATCGTACAATGCTTCGGTATAATCTTGAAATTTTACGGCATCGAACTTCAAAAATAGAGTTAATAAAATGAACCATGAACAGCCAAGAGACAATACCAAAACATATTTAAAGTATGCCCGGATTGAGCGATTTTTCTGAAATGGTTGAAGCGGTTCAATTCCAAGAATGGCAAAAATAGCGCGGACTGGTTGTAAAATGTCCATGGCTTAAAAATCCAAAATAAATTGAAAAGAACTGAAACTCTTTGACACTAGCGCGGTGAATTCTCAAATGGTAAAATGACTAAATCTTTTCTTTTCTGCTCTTTTCACTATTTCCGAATAATTTTGATTTATTTTTATTTCAGCCGGTTTGATATCTTCCCAGTTGATATTCTGATTTGAATTGATCAAAACTCCTGTCGCCTCTTGCTTTTATACTCACACTTCAGAGGGATTTCATAGTGCTGGAACGAATTTTTGATTTCACCAATCAATTAAATGGCACAACCAAAGTCTTTTTTGGAGCAAAAGTGCTTCTCAGTCGAACAGATTTACAGGCAATAACATATTATTAAGATGGATTTATTAACTCAATTAATAACATATTATTAAGATACAATCTTAATAACGCTTTTTTCGCGCATTTTTTTCGCCGGAGTACTAAAAAGTTGTTTTTTCACTGCGGAGTACACAGTACACACATGAATTTTTGCACTGTTGCAATGAAATTAAAATGACTCTTTGAAACGGAATTATCATGTATTGAACTTAACCATTAAGTTTAGGAAATCGCCAGTCCCGACCTTGAAAGGATCAATTTACCATATTTTGTCTGCATTGTTATAGGTGTGTACACCGTACAGTGCTTTTTTTCTCTCCAGCTAGGGAAAAGAATGCGCGAAAAAAGCGTTATTAAGATTGCATCTTAATAATATGTTATTAATTGAGTTAATAAATCCATCTTAATAATATATTATTATTATAGTTAATAAAATGTTATTACCGCCGAATCTTAGGATTTATTAAGATAACACCCGATATAACGCATAACATATTATGTTATTATTATGCTGAATCTTAATAACATTATTAAGATAAAAAAAATCCCAACATAACATAAT